GGCACAGGAGACAAGTAGATAAATATGTGGTGACCACAAGAGAGAAGAAAATAAGATAAGTCCTAATAGGTTGCAAGAATCTGCGGAACGGAGAATGTTCGAGTTAAAATTTGATGAAGGGGAGAAAGACGCATGTTTGAGAGAAATTGACATGAAGAAAGTTTTACTGGCATCTAAGAAAACACGGTTAGGACACCCCCCCCCCAAGCCCACTCCAAAATTTAAGGACAAACCGAGGGAAGTGCGGTTATCACTAATGCTGGAGTTCGCTGTGCGTGAAGAGAAATAGGACAAAGAAGAGTGTACGGTAGCGTCATCGGCAAAGGCGTGAATAGGATTTGAAGTTGAAGAAAGAAGATCATCAATAAACATCAGAAAAAGGGAAGGGGAAATTACAAAACCTTGGGGCACACCAGCATTCACAGGCACGGAACGAGACATGGTCCCATCTACTCTGACGGAGATACTGCGGTCCCTGAGGTAGCTTGCTATCCAGGACACAAGTTCCGAAGGAAAGCCAAACCTGGGTAGTTTAACTAAGACTGACGTGCCGGACACGATCGAAAGCTTTCTATGATATCCAGTGACACCATATGGGTTTCCGTAGTTGCCGAGTGCCGCTGACCGTGTATGCGAACTGAGCGCCAGAAGATCACCGATAGATCGATGAGATCGTTAAACGTACTAACGGTCGCTAAGCACCTTGCTCTGTTCAAGGTGGCGATACAGTTGATTAGCAACGGCTGATTCCGTAACCTTCGAAATAAATGATGTGGAAGAGATGGGGCGGTTGTTTTTTGGGTCTAAGTTGTCACCGCGTTTGGGGATAGGAAGTATTTCTGATATTTTCCATGAGGTTGGGAATGCCTCGGAACCGGGGGATAGAGAGAATAAACCGCGTAGCAGAGGGGTCAGTTCTGGGGAGGATGATGAAAGGAATCCAGTTGGGTCCAAGTGGTTTATGTGAGTCCAGTGATAAGAGAATCTGACTTATCTTTCTGGTGGACATGAGTGGTGTGAAAAATTGGTTCGCTTTAGGGCGTGGGGGTGGGGGGTTTGAATGGGTGATTCGAATAGGGTAGAAATGGAGGAATAATGGGAGGCAAACACTTCGGCTTTTTCAAGCTAGTCGGACATTAAATTGCCAGATGGTTTAAGAATGGGGGAATTTAGTGGAACGGAAGCTACCGGAGACCGCCTTAGCAAGTGACCAGAAGGAGCGGTTACTAACTGCTGCTTTGCGCTCAATAAAGTGTTCCTTGGCTTTTGCATGATGGTTGTACAGTTGTTGCGTGCTTGCAAGCACCATCAGCGGGAGCGGGGGGAGGGAGAACGACGCCAGCGGCGGAATGCTGGCAAACATCGTGAAATCAGGTGTAGTTAAACCTGGAGAAAGAGGCTTACCGGGTTTAGTGAAATGAATAGGTGTATGCCTTGCAAAAGAACTTCGGAAAATTTCGAAGCCCGTTGGAGACATCGAATAAGCAACAGTCATTCCAAGGGTAAGAAGCCAGAAAGGTACGAAAGCTGCACCAAGTAGTGGAAGCGTATCGCTGAAAAGTGGGTCTTTAATTTTTAGGAACGGATAAGTTGGGTAGAGAGCAAAATAAGACAGTAGTCCGATGAGCCCAAGGGTGGGATGGTGGCAATATTTGAAGTTAATTGTGGTTTGGATGCGAATCCAAGATCGAGGGTATAAACGTGGTCGTCAGTGCGATCGGGGATACGAGTTGAGAAGTCAACCAGCTGGTGAAGGTTGTTTGATAGGGCAAATGATTCTGCTTCACGTCCAAGGAGCGATGTCCGGGAAGAGTGTATCAGCCAATCCTTGTTATGGACGTTAAAATTACCCAAAATTATGAACTGAGCTTTGGAGTCTGCTTCAAAAATGCTATCAATGTTTGACGATAAAATACCAACGAGTGCAGAATCACTACTATTTGGGGAAGGTATACAGTGTAGGAGTGATGTTTGAAAGAAGTGAACCAAAGTTTCAGCCACATAGTCTGGAACTCGCGGTTGGTTAGATTTAGGTTGGATAACGGGGTAAAAGCAGTTGAATGATGGATAAAAGTGCAAACACCAGCTTTGTGAATGAATGAATTGCGAAGAGAATAATTGGGAAACTGAAGATGCGTGGTGCCTGTAGAAGCGGAAAGTTAAGTTTCGGATGAAAATAGAGCAAGAGGGGAAGTGGACTGACGGAATTGATGTACAGATTCAGTCATGTGGTTCAAGCCGCGAATGTTAATAACTGCATTCATCTAGTGAGAGTGCTTGAGAGGCGATCCTGTTCGAGAATTCATAGTGAGATGGGAGGTAACCGGCACCCTAGTTCTGGAACTGGAGTGGTGAACCACATAAGATGGCTAGGTCAGGGTGAAGTTTGGGAACTGGGTCAACCCAATCTTGTAGTATCATTTTACACTTGGGAGTTGCAAAGTGCATACCGAACACTAGCATTCAAGCTGTCCAAAAAAGCTTGCAACTTACCTGCATCTTCAGTCGATAGCATAACGTTGTCTGCATACTCCAGATCAAATAGTCTGCCACCTGGAAACAAATCGATGTTGCTATCCTCACACGAGGATAGGACTGTTTTCAGAATCAAATCAATGTCAAAGTTAAGTAGGCGAGATGGAGAACCACCTGCCAAACACCACTTTCTATAGTGATAACAGTACCGTAAGCGCTAACTTCGGCTTCTACTGTGATATAGAAAAGAACCTTTCCGGCACACCCTTCAGAGTATAGAGCGGTCGACTGACTCGAAGGCCGCTTTTGGCTCGATGAAAATGGAGATTGTGGGTCTATGTAAGGAATTTGGATTCTCCAGAACTTTTCAGAGTGAAGGTGTGATCTATACAACCTCAACCAGGCCTAACACGGGCCAGGTTCTCATTAAGAGACCTTTCTGACCCTTCCAGGGATCTCACTTGTGCAATAAAGTCTCCAGCGACCATTACAATGTCTGTTTACCAAGCTTTTCACAGCAGTTCAAAGAGGTTCTTTTATAATTCATGGATGCTTTATTCCTTAGCTTTTTGATCTTTGCTGTACCATCCAGACACAGCTTAAAGTTAGCTACTAATCGGGATCCAGTCGAGAAGTGAAAGCTCGGCCTTGACACAGCGCAATCGCGATAGCAGCAACACCGCGATCTTCAGATGCCGAATCACCTGACACGAAGAGTAATGTTTGAGCATGAGGTCGAATCTGGAGGTAGCAAGCAGATGGTTTAAATGGGATCTTGTATGCATGTTTCGCAGACAAAACACAACTAAAAAAAGGTTTCAAAGGTTCTAGCTAAGGCTGCTCCTTGACCAATCTGACAGAGTGTGCGGACAGTGAATGCGGTAAAATAAAAAGGAGGTCTTGGTTTTAAAGTCTGATAACTTGTGGTTGGTAGATCTTGCCATCTGAATGCTGAGTGCAATTCCGTGGGTGGCGCAAACAGTATGTATATCCTAATATCTTTCAGTGAGATAAAGAGCTGGATTGATGGGAAAGACGGTTTTTCAAATAGGCATCTAAGACTTCGAGGGCATGACATATTTCATGGTAGCCCACGCCGACGAAGGTTGCTTTGTTTTGGCACACCGACCGGAGCTTTTAACTCAGAAGCCTGACTCACAAGGCAGTGGGGCATAGGTCCTACGCGGGAGCGTAACGGAAACACCCGTGTGGGGGCTTCTAGAGACCTGTTACGCAAGGATTTATGGTTCCATTTCAGCATTTTCGCTTGTGCGCTGACTAACTTTGTGCTTTTCGGGATTGGCCCTCTGCCTCATGCGCCCAGTGAGACACCCGGAACATGGACAGCAAAGCACTTCATTGGCTGGAGGTTGCCCAGCTTGGATGAAGTGCGAAGACTTCTCCCATCGTCGGTAGGTATCCCGCTCGTACGTCAACATAGCAGTTGGGTTTTTTATTGTTAAACTGCCCTCGTGTTTATTTGTTGAAGTGACCTCTCCAGGGGCGGGTGTGGAGAGACGAAAGAAGCCAGGAGGNGTACCCAAGCAACTGGCTTTGTGAGATTTCGTCTGTCTTCTACCAATTGACCTTTTAGGCGTGGCTGGACTTGTGACTGACCCGCTATCCTGTGTAGCTCGCAGGTTCATGAATGTATGCAAGCCATAACACCACGTCAAGGTGCAGTCTCGAGGTGATGGGAATTAACAGTTGGAATTTTTTTGATTTCAGGGATTGTTTTTCGTGTGGAGGTGATGTTCTCACCAGGATTAAGGCTGTATTGGAAGGATTTTTTTCGGTCATTAGTTCTTGTTGATTTGGTGCGATGCTTCCGTTGCCCGCATTCGTGTCAGTGTTTTGTCGACAGTGCTGCTTCGATTTACTAGAAGTCCACTCAATTTTGTAGCATTGTTGCACCGTTGTAATTTCGTCGTATATGATTAATGACGTTGTTTGACTTCAAGCATTTTTCATATTTTTATATTGAGGTTTATTAGACGTTAATCCATTCATTCAGTTCATTGTGCTTATGGAACGTTTAAGCTCATGGTATTTTCCTCCTCATTAAGCACCGAATTTTCTTTCCCTCCTCGATTTTAGTGGTTATTCAGTGGAAATTTATTGATAACATTTACTAAAAATTTATAGTTTTTCCTCTGGAAATTCTTAGATTTCCGTTTATTCGATAACTTTGTGAACGCTTGTTCTACGCATAAAGATATAGCGTCCCTGAAAACCGAACACCACTCCCCTCTTTAGCTCTTACTCTCTCGACGACTGTACTACACGGATTTCATGCGTCGTTTAACCCCGTCTCCTACTTTTACGTTTGTCGATTCCGCCTCCTGTCGCTACGATGCGATTTGCTCGCGTTTATAATACTTTTCATCTTCTATCGTTTTATGCGTTTTTCCTCCCTTTCAGAGAGATCAACAGCTTATAACTAGATATCTTTTCCGTTTCACTTTTCATGCAAACCTTCCCATCTCTTCTGTATTTTTCTCTCGTGCTCAGTTCCGCAAATTTCTCTATCGTTTGGCACAAGACTGCTCGTTCACGGCCTCGATTTTCCCGAGCCTGGATCGGTGCGCTCCGTACGAGTCGACCTGATCTGGCTGCAATAGCAGACAAAATCGACACAACTCAGCCCTTGGAAGATTTACCCTCATCTTCGTCCTCCTCCTCATCTTCATCCTCTTCTTCCTCTTCATCCTCTGCTTCATCGTCCACTGTACCCTCCCGCTCCTCATCCTGTTCCTCCTGTCGCTCTTCTCGCAACTTGTCACCGGATCCTCACGGACGATCAGATATGATGCAGGTTGTGAATTCGGGCAATCGGCTGAAGTCCAGGTGAGTTCTATTTCCTGTCTTGCACGGCTTAGCTTTGTCGTGGTATGTCTGCATCGTGGGTGGGACAAACGCAGTTTTGCAACGAGAAAAAAGCTAGATGCGGTGATCTGATTGTTCAATCATCGGATTTTCGAGAACTGTTTGGTTAGGTAGGCGCTGGTCTGCGTGATGAATCTAATCGTGCCCCAGGTACGAACAGCGGTGGTGACACGTGCCTCCACCATCACCTAAAGGATTGGGAAACGCACGCGCACATAGGTGCTGCATCTCGAAATCATCCTGTGTATTTTATTGTGTATAAATTTTGCAGACACTGAGGCTCACATTTCAGTTAAAAATCATACACACTAACCGTCACAATGTACATAGCAAACTATGAAAACATTTTCACAGACGTGAG